CCGATGAGGGGCTGAGATCTGAGCTCAGGTGCTCTGGAAGACTAGCAAGTGCTCTTCGCCTAGGAATTGACTCTTTCGTCCTCAGCTAATTCACTCCTGAGCATCAACGTCTCTGTAGCTGTGCATGCAACATCCCGGCGAGCCAAGCGCACTTCCATTTCCTTGAGAAGATGCTATGCTTTCTTCTGTGTCATTTGAGCCACTGGCTTGTTTCTCTGCTTCTGCTTACAGCATCACTGGCCTGTTCTCCTACTTGCCGGGCTAACTGCATCCCTGGGTCTCGACAATGACTTATTAGCAAATTCTGCTGGCGTTTCTTTGCTCTTCCCAGAGCCCATGAAGTGTCTGATCCTAGTACTTTCACCGCTGTCCCTTCCTTCCTTCTCAGCATCACCCTGCCACTGACCTCTGTCTGTTGTTTTCCCCCACTAGACTAGAGGCTTGTGGGAAGTCAAGGGCATCTTGATCTTGGTCATGGCTAGGTCTCTCTCCGGCATTCTTAGAGTAAATATCATCAGAGAAAAATGGTAAGCCATGTTTGCCTCTACATTTATGGTATTTCCAGAGATGGCTGGAAGATGGCATTGGCAGCAAAATGAAGCCCTTATTTTTGGACCTTAGAAGCCAGGGTTGAAATACCTGGGGTGCCTGTCCCCCCCCCCCCCCCCCCCCCCCCCCCCCCGTGGCTTCTTCCGAAGCTAGAAGGAAGCAACTGTCTTATGTTCCCCACCAGCCATGCCCTGAAGGTCTGTTTGTCTTGAAGGGACTAATTATAAGTCACCTCAGCAAGGACTGTGACCATGGAACTCTCTGTGCCATCAACACATAGAAGAGCAACTATCCCTACTCTCTAATGGGTTTGTGTAGGACTTAAACACCCTCCGGGCCATGTGATTTTGGGCAATGGAAAGACGCCATGTACACGTAACTTCAGCGATGGAGAAGGAATTTGTTTTTAATCAAAACTGTATACATTCTGCCCCAGTATGATCAGCTGTGGTGCTTTTGAATGTGTTGATGAATTTTGGCATCTCTCCATATTTGGAGAAAAGCTAAAACTGGCAGAATTGAGCCTTTGTCCTCTGTAAGTGGCTGTTTAGGACCCAATCTCTGAAACACATTTATTTTGAGTGTTGTGAGAGATTTTCTTTTCACTTTTTTAAAAATGTCGTTCTTTCTCTCTTTCTGTTTAAAACCCTCTTTCATGATATAAAGCAAGTTTTTTTTTTATTTGTTTTTGTTTTAAACTGGTACCTATCAGGTGGTAATTTGCCAGTTAGTCTAAGGTAATAAGAAACCCGAGTTTGGATTTGATTCAGTTCCATTAGGGCAGATTTAAATTTTTGTGATACAGGGGCTATTATCCTGGTGGCTGAGAGGGATTTTTGTGCTGGGCATCGAGGCCGACAAAGACCACACTGTGCACGCTCCATCCAGAACGGAGCACTTTCACACTGCAATTTAGGAGCTGTGCAGTTCAGGAAATTGCTGGCTTTGGCTGGACCATACTTTTACTGCAAGGAAAATTTTATTCGTCACTCAAGTAATTGGCAGTTTTAATACCTTGTTCATAATTACCTTATAAACAAACGAATATATAAGCCAAAGATTGTATGGCTTGGTATCTGACTTGCAGCCTTATTTAACCAACATGATAGACACCTGTGGGCCTCCCTTTCTCTGCCTCAAAAAACTAATTTGCTCCATTTATTAGGGGAAAAAAAAGTAATAATAACGAAAGTAAACACTACAGCTATTGTTCTCCTTTTGTTGTTGGGAAATACCATTTAAGTCTAGGAAGTTTAGCCCCAGACAGCATGGGCCCAAACCAGGTGCAGACGTGAAGGGAGACGTGAGACAGGGTGAGTCTGGGCACTTGAGGGCTGCTGGGGGATGGGTATCCTGGTGCTAGAAACATTGGCTATGTATTTAAGAGAAATTTTCTGTCCCCCAAATTGTGGTTTTGTTCAGCCCCTAGACCCTGACCCTAAGGCCTCTTGGCCTGGCTTCGCCTCCATCTCCGGGACCTAAAAATTGACTAATTGTCACACTTGCCTTAGCCTCTACCTCACAGCTAGATCAAGGAGTTTGTACTCTGGCAAACCCAGATGTGGGAAACCCAGATGTGGGAAACAGTCAAAACCAGAGGTCATGGCTGACTTGACTCTAAACAAAGTCTGTAAGGCTTTATGGGGATCCAGGGTCTTTGTAATTTGTGACTTGTACTTTTTCAGACTTTACTGTGATCTCAGCTTTGAAGGTATGCTGTGCCTTGTGAGCTTGTTACCCCATGCAGCATGGCTTCTGGTGGAGTTCTATTCTCTGATGATTCGAGTCTTAAAGATCAAACAGACAGCACCCTAGAGTCCTTAAAAAGAATAGACTAAGGGTTTGAACCATAGCTTGAGAAGGTAGTTGGTATGGTGTTTGGAGCCCATGTCTGTGCGGTTCCTTCCTCCTTGTTTGTTGTGGGGAAGGCAGCACCTGGCCTTTGCAGCATCAGGAAGTCAAGCCTTCCGACTGCAGTGGGCACTGAGTACACAGATCCCTGGAGGCCTGGTCTGTCTGGGAGAGGAGATTGAAAGGGGCCCTGGCTATGCCTGTGATGATGGATCAGGGAGCCAGTTGGATTTCCACATCAGTTAGAAAATAGAAGTTAAGGGTTTTTTTTTTGTTTGTTTGTTTTGTCTTGTCAAGATAAGAAGCAGCAGCTCTTTCCGAAGGAACATGTGCAGTGAGAAATTGCCAAAATATCTCTGATGCTCTGTGTTCTGGGAAAGAAACCTGGGATTGTTTGGGGATCAACTCAGACTTACTGTGTGAGGTGACTCAGAAGTGGTTGGACTGGTTATACAAAAGACCTAGTTTCCCAACTTTAGATTATCTATTATATTTGTGAGAGAAATTATTTTATCATTCAACAGCATAATGTATGAAACATGCTTCATGTATGACACCTAATGTGTGCTCACCATTATTTCTGGTTTCATTTCATTCCAGCACAGTGGCATGAACACAAATTCCTGCCCCAGAAGAGTTTGCAGTATGTGTACATGTTAGGATGTGATGCAGTATAGGATGTCAGGATGTGATGCAGTATAGGATGTTAGGATGTCAGGATGTGATGCAGTATAGGATGTCAGGATGTGATGCAGTATAGGATGTTAGGATGTGATGCAGTATAGGATGTTAGGATGTGATGCAGGGTAGGATTTGGGAGCCCATAGAAGAGATGCAAGATGGAGAGACGTCTCTGAATTATTAATCAAAGCTTAATAAACCCAAAATACTACAAAAGCCCAGCTTCTGGTAAGTGACGTAACACACATGAGGGCTCTTTTCCCACTAAGGAGAACATACATAGGAGATATACTTTCTGATTTCTTTGGAAAGAGTTACTGCCAACCGTAGAACTACAGGGTGAGGTTTGTATAACATGCAGAGTCCTATGTGCAATGCTCAGGTCATCTGGCTGTTCTTTGGGTTGTAAGGAGAAACCCTTATTATGACTGTTTCCAGCTTCTTTACTTTAACATGTTGTCACCCCCTTGCTAAGTGATGCTCTCAAAAGTCCATGCTACCTGAACTTGTGTGACAGTGGAGCACTCCTGCCTTCTAGCTGATTGTCACTTAGTGCTAAGTTTCCCCTTGGAAGCTGTAGTACCTGTGTTCGTTTGTAAGAGCGTGACCAGGCTCCCCACTCCCCTTTCCCCATTTGAAACACAATAGAAAAATGGTGGGAATGTTCTATCTCGTCTGATGCTGTCAGGCACACTGGCTAGTGCTCTCTTGAAATGTGGGTACTGCAATGAAAGAGCACTCTTTTTTGTTTGTTTGAAACATAGCCTTTTTAAATAGGCGAGGCTGACCTATTACTTCTGCCTCTGCCCCCTGAGTACTGGCACTAGAAGTCTATCCCATGCTCAGTAACATTCACTTATGTGTGAGTGCTGTAGGTTGTGCGTCAGTGTGTGTGTGTGTGTGTGTGTGTGCATGCGCGCGTGCGTGTGTGCACACATTTACATGATATTTAATGACTTGTTTGTAGCCAGTGGCTACCACTGTGGTCTACTTTGGTCTGTTATTGAGGACTGGTAATGTCAAGCATGTCTTAATATACCTGCATTTAGAAACTGTTCAGGCTGTTGGCTCTTCCAGGATACATTTGTAGCACAGAAAGCCCAGCAGCTGTCCTTTGGTGTGGAAGTCTCTGACAACCTAGTAATTTACTGTAAAAACAGGTGGTCTTTCCAGCCAGGCACTAGAGCAGCCGCAGGCTGATGCGCATTGGAAGTTCACTGTTATCGTGCTGTAAGGCAAAGAATTATAATAAAGAATCAGATTTAGAATCAGGGAGAAATGCAGCTGACTAAATGGTTCTGAAGGCAAATGCACCTGCTGTGGTAGCCTCCCTAGCAGACAGCGGCCCCCAGATGCTGTGGAAACATCAAAGTGGGAGGGGGAAACTTAACTCCACAAGTTCTCTTCTGATCTCTACATGTGTAGCCTCTTCCACTAGTAGTAATAAATGCAGTAAATATGAATATATGTGTATATTACATTATATATATTAAGAATGGGGAAGAAAACTATATTTTATATATGTATATGTAAAACATATATATATTGTGTGTATGTATATATTTGGGTGGGGAATGAAGGCATTGTGGTTTGTGTGCCCACTCGGTGATAGATGTTTCATTTACTATCTAATAAAATAGGAAGAATTAGAAAAATAATCTGAAAGATCAATCAGTTGCATTTAAATGCATGACAACCAGCGATGCTAACTGTGTTTAGAGGTATGTGTGGCGCTGTTCTTCATATAGGCAGTATGAACTCAGAGAATACGTGGCCATAGGGTTGCTGTTCATCTTTGAGAAGTACTGTTTAGCTCAACCAGTCTTCCATACTCCTGAAGAACAAGTCAGGAAGAGGTTATACTCTTCTCCCGTTGGTTTGTGCCGTTGACCTGTTACCCGGCTGTGTTTTAATTGCAGGGCTGGGAACAGCATTGACGAAATCCTCCCTGAGCAGCTGGAGCCTTTTCAGGCCCTCGAGACCTTGGACCTGAGCAACAACAATATTTCAGAACTGAGAGCTGCGTTTCCACCCTTACAACTCAAGTATCTGTGAGTAGAAGTCTCCAAAGCCTTTCGCCCACAGTGAACATACTGTTATGATGGGAGTAGGCGCTAAGATACAGCAAACTCCATTTGACTGTTGTTCAATTAAAATGTAGCTTTCTTATTGACTTGAAATTGACAGTAAGCCTAATTAGGTATTGCAATTAAAAAAATGCCTCAAACTACAGCCTTTTTGTATTTTATTAATAATAATTCCATACAAAGTCTCTCTGTATCGGTAACAAGTATTTGTGGCCCAGGAAGCTCTCAGACTGTCCCCTGTCACTATGTGTATACTAGTTACTTTTCTGGATGCTGTACTCAATTCCTGACAGGAGCCTGTTTAAGGGAGGGAGGGACTTAATTTGACTGACAGTTTGAGGGAAGAGTCCATCCTGGCAGGGAAAGCATGATGGGAGAAGTGGCAGGCAGCCCTGTCACAGCATGGGCAGGAAGTCAGGCCAGATCATGAGACCCTAAGTCCCACTCTCTGTGGTCTACTTCTTCTAGCTAGGCCCCACCCCCAACAGTTTCACAGCCCTCTAGAAGAGCTCCATGTGCTGGAGAGTAAGCTTTCCAACACTTGCGCCTGCAGTGGGCATTTTATATTAAAGCTACGGGGTTTTTTTTTTTTTTTAAGTGCAAGAAGGCAATTTTTTTTTTGAAAAAAAAAATTCCTGCCTCCTCCCAGCCTCCCATTTCCCTCCCCCTCCCCCCGCCCCTCTCCCCCTGCCCCCACTCCTCTCCCCCTCCCTCTCCAGTCCAAAGAGCAGTCAGGGTTTTCTGCCCTGTGGAAAGTCCGAAGTTCTCCCCCCTCCATCCAGGTCTAGGAAGGTGAACATCCAAACTGGCTAGGCTCCCACAAAGCCAGAACATGAAGTAGGAACAAAACCCCATGCCATTGTCCTTGGCTTCTCATCAGTCCTCATTGTTCAGAGAGTCCGGTTTTATCCCATGCTTTTTCAGTCCCAATCCCGCTGGCCTTGGTGAGCTCCCAATAGATCAGCCCCACTGTCTCGGTGGGTGGGTGCACCCCTCGTGGTCCTGACTTCTTTGCTCATGTTCTCCCTCCTTCTGCTCCTCATTGGGACTTTGGGAACTTAGTCCGATGCTCCAGTGTGGGTCTCTGTCTCTATCTCCATCTATCGCTAGATGACGGTTCTATGGTGATATGCAAGATATTCATCAGTATGGCTATAGGATAGGGTCATTTCAGGTTCCCTATCCTCAGCTGCCCAAGGAACTAACTGGGGACATTGCCCTGGGCACCTGGGAGCCGCTCTAGGTTCATGTCTCTTACCAACCCTAAGGTGGTTCCCTTAATTAAGTTATGTGATTCCCTGCTCCTCTATCCAACCTTCTTTTATCCCAATCATCCCGTTTCCCCAAGTTCCCCCCATCCTCCCCTTCTCACTTTTCTCTCCCCATCTCCCCTTACCCCCATCCCACCTCACCCCCAAGATCCCAATTTTTTGCCCAGCAATCTTGTCTATTTCCCATAGCAGGGATAATAACTATATGCTTTTCTTTGGGTTCACCTTCTTATTTAAAGCTACAGTGTTTTATATTCATGGAACCCAGGGCTTCTTCATACCTAGCAGGTGAGGATTCTGCCGGTGAGCCATATCCCATATGTGTAAGCCTTAATTTATTTACAGGGACCTCAGTGTTAACAGCTGATGGTCAGGTTCTCTGGAAAGCATTTGCAGTGGGGAGACTGAACACATTTTACCTTCCCAAAGACACCTGAGCAAACCTCTGACCTTCACACTCTCGACAGGTATATCAATAGCAACCGAGTGATATCCATGGAACCGGGGTATTTTGACAATTTGGCGAGCACGCTCCTGGTGCTGAAGCTGAACAGGAATCGAATAACAACTATCCCCCCCAAGATGTTTAAACTGCCCCAGCTCCACCACCTGTAAGTGAACGAAACCTCCTGGATGTCATGCCCTCACCTCTACACCTTTGGTGTCCATGTTCTGATCCCACAGCCTGGCAGGGGAAGTCTAGGGGTGAGCAGGTTACTGCCTTCCCCTTTCATGGTGAGAGCGGTAGAATCTCCAGATTGGGCAAAGCCTTCCCGATTACCTCACGCCAGCCGCTGCCTGACTAGACACGTCAGACAGTTGCTGAAGGAGCAAGGAGTGCACTGGCTGAGCAATCCCTTCACAAAGGTGCCATTGTGGACCTGGGGAAACCACAGGGTCTCTCAATAGCTGTGGTTTAAGAGAATAATACCGACAACTCTGGGATGCTTTGATAGCCTAAATGGCTGTAAAGAACCATCTTGTTAAGAATGGTAGAAAGGTTTGTGAACAGGTTCCCGCAATGGCACTTTTTTCAGCCTTGGCTGTGTATTATGGAGACTTGGGGAGCTTTTCAAAACCCCAGTGCCCAGGCTTCACCCTAGACCAATTATACTAAAACCTCTGGGGGTTGCAATTTGAGCTTCGGGGATTTTAAAGCTCCCTAGGTGGTTCCAGTGTTCAGCAGAAACAGAGGGCTGAAGCCTGCAGGGAAGCAGCAAACTGAAAACTAATTGGGAATGGCGGTAGCCAACTTTGCATACGTACAGAAGGATTTCTGTGCCGCTCCTTTGTAGACCTCCTGGGATGGTTATCACTCTTAATTCTGCATCAACAAAAGATGGATATCAATTAATTTGCTGCTACCCTTAGTAGACAACAGTTTAGAAATGAAACTCTGATGTACTTCCTGTATCATTCCAAAAATATATCAAATATATTTGACATGGACATTCACCCCCTGTAATAAATTGGAAAAAAATATGAAAAGTATGGGAAATCTAAAACATTCTGTTAGTTTAGCACTGATTGGGTAAAATACATTGTAGTATGTGAGACTTTTTTTTTTACTACCTCTAGAATTTTCTTGTCACATGAACTAACTGCTTCATTGTCTCATCCAATGCAGTGAGCTGAGCCGAAACAAGATTAAGAACGTGGACGGACTCACATTCCAAGGGCTGGGGGCACTGAAGTCTCTGAAGATGCAAAGAAACGGGGTCACAAAGCTCATGGATGGAGCTTTCTGGGGGCTGAGCAACATGGAAATCCTGTAAGTGGGGGTGATCGCGGTTCCCACTCAGATGGAACAACCTTGGGGTGCTCAGTAGACCCTTGGTAGCTCTTATCCAAAAAAAAAAAAAAAAAAAACCCACATTCAATTCTTATGCTATGCAACCACAGCTATGGTTTGTTACTCAGCTGTGTCTCAGACGATCTGAGAATTCAGAAGTACATAAATCTTGTGCTGATGTCTTTCTATCTTGAAGCCAACTATCTAGGCATGTTAGGGATACGTCATGGGCTGCAGCCAGCCATGCGTGTCCAGATTATGAACTCTGGCTCCTGTCTCTGGTTCTCATTGTACGTGTAGGCAGCTAGACCATAACAACCTCACGGAGATCACCAAAGGCTGGCTCTATGGCTTGCTGACGCTGCGGGAGCTTCATCTGAGCCAGAATGCCATCAGCAGGATCAGCGCAGATGCCTGGGAGTTCTGCCAGAAGCTCAGCGAGCTGTAAGTTCCCTTTTGTTCTCCTTGGGTTCGAGAGCAGAGCTCATTCTGGAGGAGGCATTCTTACCACGGATCTCTGGAATTGTCATAACCAAGATTCCCAGGCGACGCCGACTTTCCTAGGTGCCCTGTGTTGTCACTACATTCGGTTGTGACGAAGTTGAAGCTAGTTCTGCTCTGTTCAGCTCTGTGGCGCATTGACAAAAGCAGTCATTGTTTCATGAACTGTTTGTTTAATTTTAATTGCTGAGATGAGAAGTGACGTCTACCTGGATACTATCTGTGCAGAGTGTTAAAACAGGACTATTATAGTTACATTTATCTTTTAGAAAGCAGATTCTTGTATTGAACGGAAGGAGAAACGCTGTTTGTTGTTCTTGTTCTTTGCAGGGACCTAACTTCCAACCACTTATCGAGGCTAGACGACTCCAGTTTCCTTGGCCTAAGCCTCCTAAATACCCTTCACATTGGGAACAACAAAGTCAGCTACATTGCTGATTGTGCCTTCCGGGGACTTTCCAGTTTAAAGACTTTGTAAGTTACACATTTTGCTCTTGGTCCACGAACCTAATTGGTTCCTAAATGTGCCCACTTTTCTCTGAGCAGATTTTCTTTGTTGCTGGGGAAATGTGTGTAGCCTCGACTGCGGGGTCTTAATCTGTCCCAGAGCAGTTTGATTAGAATAGATCCATTTCATTCACGTGTGTTTCTTTAAGGGATTGAAAAGGACGCTGATCAGACTGCCTGGTGATTGCAGCTTCCCTTTGCAGGATCACTAGGAAGCTCAGAACTGCTGAAGGCAGAAACAATTTTTAAGTCCACTAATTTTTTTTTATAAATCATAGATTAAAAATTACCCAGACCAAATTAATACATAAATTTAAAAGGTTAGAGGTTATAGTAAAGGCCTTGAAGGAAGGTGAACGTTGGCTCTTCTGGTTACCTACAACCTGATTTCTGTCCTAAGAGAAAGAAAAGTGTTGATTTAGCTTGAACATTTAAAAAAATCTCTCCAGCATTAATTGAATGTTGTGCACTGGGCTTCGGATTTTTGCACTGTTCAGAAACCTGTACCATGGTCCGTCTGGACCCTCAGAGTGGAAAGATGCACCGCACGGTTTGGCACATGTCTGTGTGATGGGATTGGCTTCAAAATTAATGTATTTTTCAAGTTGTTCAAGACTTCAGGGTTTAGCCCTCTTGATAGATTTAACAGGGCTGGGATGGCTGTCTTGGTTTGGGGACAGTTTTTCAAATGTTGAATGCAGCATTCAGGATGTGAGAGGTGCCTTGGAGAACTGAGTTCCTTACTCTGAAGTGGGCAGAGCTGGAGGTTCGATTAGCAGGACTTTGGGCACACTACCTGGGCGGTGATCCCACCCGGGTGGTGACCCGAGGCTTCTGAGAAGTGTGTCTAAGGAGAACACTGTGTTTCCTTAGGGACCTGAAGAATAATGAGATTTCATGGACCATTGAAGACATGAATGGAGCCTTCTCTGGGCTGGACAAACTGAGGCAGCTGTGAGTATAATTTGCCTCTTAATTAGCCCCCTCTATGAATTAAAATTATTGTCATAATTGAAGTCAGATCCATAAGCTGACATCATAGAGTCATCAGAGGTAGATATGTCATCTGGTTACACCCTTGGTCCTTCCCCCAAGTGCATACTATTGCCCATGATGTGTGTATACTAATTAGCTTTTCTTCCTTGGATGAAAGGAAGAAATTTGAATCCTGGAATTGGTCTAATTCCAGGTCAACTCATGTTGATATCTAGATAAGAGCTTAAATTTTATTTTGACCATTACCCATTAGGAACTGGTTGAAGGGACTGTGTTTACGCCCACATTTTGAAGCCCCCAACAGTGTGCTGTCTGTAGTCATGAGTTTTCATATGAAGCGGTCCACTGTCTGTATCAGTCACACTGCATCAGGGTCCAGAAAGGATGCAAACACTTCATATTCAGCCACAAAATGGTCTTGTAGACTGCTCTCTGTTTTCTGTTGGTGATGGAGGGTATCCATAGAGAAGAGGGGGGGAACAAGCTACACTGTGGAGCAGTGTGATCGCCAGAGGACCTTATTTGTTTGGCACCTGTGTTTGTGGAGTGTGTTGGTTATCCTTCTGTTGCTGTGGTAAAATGCCATGACCAAAAGCATCTTCTAGAAAGCTAGGTGTCCGTGCTGGTAGGGAATGCATGGTGGCAGCAGCAGTGGGAAGCTGGGAGACCACATCTCTGCCACAAAGTAAACTGGTGGGGGGGGCGTGCTATCAACTCCCCAGGGCCGCCCCCCAGTGATGTACTTCTTCCATCATATCATAAAAGTTCTATGACCTTCACAAACAGCACTGCCAACTGGGGACCATGTGTTCAAAGATAGGAGCCCATGGGGGTGTTTCCGTTCAAGCTCCTACACGGAGGTGTCTGTCGAATGCTTTGAACTCATGTTAAATCATGTTACTGAACATGAGATCAGGGATCCAGTATTTCAAGTTACGGTCTTTCATTGACGAAAATAGTTTTGTTCGCAAATGAGGATAGTCCTTTTTATGAGTTCTGGTCCTTAAGTGGCATTTTCAAAATTTACTACAGTGTGATTGTACCTCTTCCCCCACTCCAGAATGCTCCAGGGAAACCGCATTCGATCAATTACCAAGAAGGCTTTCACTGGTTTGGACGCGCTGGAACATCTGTAAGTAGCTGGGACTGAGTTCCCCTGGGGGGGGGGTGGTCTCAGATGCTCTCTGTCTATGACTCCTGAAACATGAAGTGAATAGCCTGTGCCGACTGCATCCTCCTACACTGTAAAACACATTTACACACCTACCTGTCGTCTGTCGGTCTTGCTTCCTTCATCTTTATACGTTTACCTGTTGGTTTTCTTTTCACTTAAGACCATCGCTCTTTTTTTCCTGCTCATTCATCTTTTAAGTAGTGACAGCTGTAATTTAAAACAATCTAACATATATTGGGCACTTATCAAAGTCTGGTCATTTTGCCAGGTACTGAATGTATAAGTATCTGTTGCTCCATTCAGTACTTGCAAAAATACTGTTCAGTAGCTTTTAAATCGTTAAATGAAACTCCTGAAGATTCATGGGTTGTGTTTGTTTAACAATTAAGATCACTTGAATATTAAAGCTCAAAAAGATATCCCCGAGAGGAACATGCTGGAGCTTTGAGAGCGGGTGACAGCGTCATGAGAACCTTTGCTGTTGTTGTTGCCGGCTGTAAAATGTGCAAGCTAGCCCTCTCTGTTGCTATCTTTTGCTCTCCACACGTCAGTTGGGGAGTGCTAGGAAAACACAAGATCCGGCTTTTTCTGGCTCCAAAAAGACCCTAAATCCCTTTGGCTCTTGACTACTCAATCCATGCCCCATCTCGGGAACCTTTGGCACACATTTATGAAATGAGATTTCAGGGTGGAGGGTTTTCAATTACTAAAGAAGATGCTAGCTCTGGGGAGTATTGCTTAAGTACTATGACAACGGAACCAGCCAACTGTTAGTGTTAGCCTCACACTTCCATTTCAGATCACAGTGTAGTTTGGAATGTTTGCTCGATTGAGGAATGCTTGTAGCCATAAGTTTTCCTACGTGTTAACTTGGACAATATTATCATTTAGATGCACATCTGGGTTGTACCTCACCAGGACTGTGTGTTTGGGTATTAGTCTGCCTGCTGCCTCATGGTTGTTTTAAGAGAGACATGGATTGCCAGCTCCCCCGACAGCCGTGCAGAATGAGTCTGCAGAACTGAGCACTGCCATGTCAAGCCAAGACTGCTGTTATTGAAACAGATTATTTTCAGAGGAAAACTAGCCAAAGTATTTGTCAACTGGCCCGTTCCGTTTCTGGGAAAGTGGAATTAGTGGATCGGCAGAGTATTAACCTCTGCTTCAATTTTCTTTGACCTTCGCTGAGTCTCCCAGACTCTTTCCCTGCCCAAGTCTAGCACCTTCCTTCTTTGTTTTCCCGTCTACTTGCTCATTCAAAATCCCCTTATATTCTGTGGACTGTGAAGAAAAAAAAAAAAAAAGAGTAAGGAAGTAACCATTGTGGCTGGTAGTTTAGCTCTCGCTGCTTTAAAGTACTAGTTAAAAATAAAGTCAACACAAGCATCCTCTCATTTTATGGATGTCCTGCCTGCAACCTCATTTGCTTTATTGAGTACATGTCCTATGAACATCGCTGCTTTTGCAGTCGAGAGCTGTTGTGACAGAATTAGGCTGGAGTAGAGAATAATGGGCTCAACCATCCCCCTTCATGCCAAGCTATGTAGGAGAGCCATCTTTCTCTGGGTTGCTTTAGGAATGCCTGCATTAATGTAGAGCCAAACACACATCACAGAAAGTGGCCTACAAAAGATGTTTTCAAAACGCGTAATCATGAAGCATTAGGTTGTGCACTTCATTAATAGCAAGTTTGAATAATGAGAACTAAATGGCAGGCAGATCAGCCAGCGCCCTGGAGGAGTCAACACTCTGGGATTGGCATCAGGAATGCCCCCCTCTTCCCCATGAATGAACCCATCTCTGGGTGCCTTGGCCAGAGCTTTCTGAGAGACTCCGCTGCAGTGGTCCCGTTGGCACATGCCAAGGAATGCGGAGTGTTTGCCCATCGAGTGGGTGGGCAGTGGGGTGTGGCCAGCTGCAGATGTCCTCGGAGTGTTTCCCCTTTGAGTGCGGTGGGCAGTGGGGTGTGGCCATTCCTGACGGACACGCCCCACCGTGGTTCACCCTGCTGTGTTGGATTTGGCTGTTTTCCAGGGACCTGAGTGACAACGCCATCATGTCTCTGCAAAGCAACGCGTTTTCCCAAATGAAGAAGCTTCAGCAACTGTAAGTTTTCCCTTCTCCTTCTCCAGTTTCAAGTCACGCGCCGAAGGGGAGCTGTCATGTGATATGTCATCAAAAAAGAGCGACTAGTGCATTCTTGACATTATTAATGTTTATACCAAGAAACAAGGGAAGTGGGCTGTTTGTTCCCTTGCTTGCGATTGGAATTTCTTTCTCTCTCTGTTTTGAATTTGCAGCTTAAATCTGTGCCACCATATATAGTATGGTTCCTAAATATAGTTCTCATTTTGTATTAGTCAGGAATTTTGACATATCAGCACTTCTTATTGCCTCAATAGGACAATAAGAGAAAACAGAGGTTCTGCTAGCTCATTTCTTGCATTTTAAGGTGGACTATAGGATATTTACAACCTCATGCATTCGGTTTCCAAATTCCTCACTTGGTTAGTATTTATTTAAGTTTGACTTACTTGGAGAAATCTGCATTTCATACCAAACAAATTGAATGTAATTCCTCTCCTCAGGCATTTAAATACATCCAGCCTTCTGTGTGATTGCCAGCTAAAATGGCTCCCGCCGTGGGTGGTGGAGAATAACTTTCAGAGCTTCATAAATGCCAGTTGTGCCCACCCCCAGCTGCTAAAGGGGAGAAGCATTTTTACCGTCAGCCCCGACGGCTTTGTGTGTGGTGAGTAAAAGTGCGTCCTTGATTTTTATTAATTCCCTCTTCCCGCTCATTCATCCAAACAATGCATTTGACGAGATGTATGTGCTCTTCGTAGGAATTTTCTGAGGTAGGCCAAATGGATCTAGAGTTTGCTGCCTGTTAGCGTTTTCCAGACACTGGTGGAGTTTGCCGGCACGTCCTCCTATTTGGTTTAGCATCAGCATGATTTGGTGGCAAGGATGAAATGAGATCTTGAGCGAGCTGAGAGTGGGCCCCGTGCTCCTATTCTGCTCTGCTTCCCCCACCCTTCCTCTCCGCCCAGCTGTGGAGGCGTCTGCCTGGCTTTTGACTCCGATTCTGTAAAAGGAGTATCAACAGCTGTCTGTGGTGATGCTACAGTGACACTTGCTCTCTTGATTTTGCTGTTGTCATTTTTTAGAGGCCTGGGAGGAAAATGTAGTTTCTCGTATTAGCTTTCAAAGATGGTCCCTGAGTCTGGGAGCTGCATTCTTCTCTGTGTTCATGGAGATCATACCTGGGCCTTGTGTCCTGGGCAGGAGCTCCTCCAACAGACGGTAGCTCCAGGTCCCCTCTCCTCACCGTTCTGTTTGTTTATAATTTTTGAGATGGGGACTCACTAAGTTGTTTAGGGTGGCCTGGAACTCACTCCACAGTCTAGCTTCCTAAGTAGGTGGGTTTGTAGCTCTGAGCTACCAATCCAAGCAACCTGAAAGCGCCTTAGCTGCCGTTTGCCCCTTTAAAAAAAAATCAGTGTTCTGTTTTAAAAAATTATTTTTGCTAATTCAT